AMAGCTTAAAATAKATTACGCGCCGTCTGMTGAGTGTTACTGCCAAAACTGCATGCTCCTGTGCCGTGATTTTCGGGATAACCGTTTACAAACCGGTTATGGTCAAGTGCTTTACTTTCAAAAAATTGGAGAAGATTTCTTCAAAAGGAAAGATCTTTTCAGGGCACAGCTGTTTTTCCTCCCCGACATAAAGGCAGCACGGGAAAGAAGAAAAGAAAAAAGAACTAACTTTTGCTTTTGATTTCATTACATTGGAYGAGAGCGAATGACAACATAATACGATAAAAAGTTAATTATCTGTAGGTTTTTCCGTCGTTAATTTAACTCAAACCCACAACGAATTCTAACACTGAAAGCAGTTGGTTGTTGTTTTAAAGTGATGTAATAGCTTTATCTAGAAATAATGYTTTCAAATTAAAAATTTCCGATATAAGATACAAATAAAAACCCACCTATAGTGGTTCTTYATATTAAAAGTAACCATTGCATCGAATAACTATCAAAGAGCACGAATCTCATGTTCCTTGCGGCTAGATGGATGGAAGAATGGACTCCTGGGTGAGTAAGTGAGTGACTGAATGAACTCACAGTTCTGTTACTGGTTACCTTATAGTTTACTACTTGATCATAATATAGCTTGTAATCCTCTCCCCTATATACTAACCCTCCGAAAATCTCTCTGAAAGTTTCTTTGTACATAATAGTATACTAAGTGTTATGTACTCTGACAGGTCGTGTATGACGTCACGACTGTCGCGCCGAGAGCACGAGGGGCGTTGAGCAATAAACATAATCGTTTAGAAGTTCACTCGAGTTGTTGTTGTTTTACTCGGTTTGGAGAACTTTTATTATTGTCTTCAATACACGACACTAAGTAAAAATGCGACATTACCAATTATACAACTCACCAGGTGGTTCTTTAAAAGCAACCATAGCGTTATAATTACTTCCGAAGAAGAAGCTCTCTACTTCCACTCCGCTGACCACTTCCATGAATGATTCGAACCCGTCCTTGTTTGTTTTTTCGCTTATTCCCGTCACATGAAGCTTGTTGGGGTCTTTAGAAATTTCTTTAGGAATTTCTTTTAATGTAATCGTAAGCTTTGAGCCGTCAAGCTCGAGGCTTTCTTTCTGAGACACTCGCTCCGCATCTATAATATAAGAAAAAAGCCGTTACAAATGTACTCTTTGCAGAGAATAAGAGCTATTATAGCAACGTCGGGTAGGAGACGCGCAAAAAACTCGGAGGGGGGGGGGGGGGGGGGGGGGAAAGGTCATAAAAGTAACACAAAAATAAATGAAGAATTTGAGGCTCATGACACCAATACTAAGTACCAAGCCAAACATTTTCAATGGCAAATGGTCACAAGTATAGTACAAACATATATATATATTGCAGGTTTGCATTCGTTCTCAAGGACGTGATCATCATGTTAATACCAAAATAGCAGCAATAGGCAGAAATATGCTTTTSAGCATTCATAGTGAATAAGTTCTCATATATGATAAGCATTGTAAGGATAGACCATTTTAGTTTTGCTAATCACAGACAGGGTTTACACAGGGTTAGCCTAATTTCAGTTTCAGAATATTCACAAATACCAACGATAAGAATGCACAGCTTCAACAATACAAACACTTTGAAATTCCACGGACCTTAAGGTTGTTACAGCCCAATACGTTACGAAAGGAGGACGAGTGGTACGAAGCCCCAAGAGACTAGGATATTAGTACCCTTCCCCGGGTGGGGAATAAACCCCTTAGGAATCGAATTTCGTGCTGACATGTTTGTAATGAAGTCAACGTCTCAAGTAAAGTTGTTGAGTTGTAATAGGCGTTTTCTGTCGTCAGTTCCACAACAAAGGWAATTCCCTCGTTTTGAGCTGCGCATTTTTCTGCGCATGCAACTAAAAGCATGACATAAACAAAGTTTAGGCATTTTTCTTTCGGAAACCTAATAGGAAACATGTTCAAAACCAATTTTCACTTTTTTCTCTTTTTTAAGTAGAGAAATTGCGATATTTACCTAACTCGCCACAGTCTCCCCTCAGAAAAGTGTTAGTTTTCGACTATTTTGAGAGTGTTTTTTCAAGATAAATCAAAAACGAGAATGGTGACCCCCATTTTTTATTTCAATTTATTTCAGAAATTTGATGCTCGTCAGATATATCAAAATATGAAGGAAAGTTTATTGGATAGATTTTCAGGAACTATTTTGTTGGTAATAGTTGACATATTCAATTTTTGGACATTCGTAGAGAAGCACATATCGAAGAAGAATGGATTTAATAGTATAGATTATCTAGTAAGCTTCGAGTTATGAGTACGTTTTCTATATGAAAGTACTTTTAACAGTGAATAAAGGTTCTTGATTACAGCTTCCGGTCGGTACCGCATTTCACTAAAAATCCCATAAATTGACATTATATTTGGAGAGCATCTGGCGAAAAAACGATAATAGTGACCCCATCTTTTTATTGCAGTTTTTAAATGTCCATAACATAATTAATGTTCATGCAAAGTTGTAGGAAAAATTRTTGGCAACATTTCTTTCAAGGAAATTACCTTAACTGGAACCTATGAATATTCTGCACAAAATCGAAGCTAAACCTCAGCAACAGAGAATTTGAAATAAGAATATTACTATTACGTTGGTTTACGCGTGGGATGTTTTTTTCTATTGTAAGTTTCATTTTCAACAACAACAGCAAACACACAAAAGAAAAAGGTAAAAAAAAAAAAACAATATCAGCAA